CGACCCGGCCTCGGATGAGGATGGATAGATGGACCATGTTCAAATTACACAGCTTTCTGAATACTGACAGCAACCGTCCTATTTGACATAGAAGCGATATGTGTAGCAAACAGGGCTGAGTTTTAAGAAGAACATAAGATGTACTAGACCAGGGGTCACCAACCTTTTTGAAAGTGAGAGCTACTTCTTGGGTACCGATTAATGTGAAGGGCTACCAGTTTGACACACACTTCTCAAATAACAAATTTCCTCAGTTTAACTTAATTATGTGTTATCATTAATAATTAATGATATTCATCTATGTACGGACACTAATTATGTTAATTATTTTTCCCCATAATTATAAAGAATGCAATTAGGAAACAAGGTAGGAAACATAAATATCAATATGCAACGCTTTATTTCTATATATCTCTGCAAGTATTTACATTTTGAAGTGATCACTTCTACAACATTTTCACTTACCACTAACAAATTTTAACAAATCATGCACTGTTACATACATGATTTTTGTATGTATGTAACATACAAAAAATCAACTTTCAAATTTTACAGAACTTTTCACCAAATCTGCAGCATTTTAAAGCAAATTGTCACGTTACACTTAACAAACACATTTGTTTTTCAATAATTAAATTCAACTTTGACATGACACTGTAATGTTGCCACTGAGAACATCTAATATGGCTTTCTTTGTCTGTTAGTGGGAAACCTGGCATTGCATGCTGTTCACCAGTGTGTTGTAATTTGGGGTATAACTTGACACTGCAACTCTGAGTGAGTCTTGCAGATGTGCATCAGAGAGGCGTGTTCTGTGTTTGTTCTTGATGAAGTTCATGTCAGAAAAGGCTGATTCACAAAGATAGGTTGAACCAAACAGGCTGGCAACCTTCATAGCTGCTGTGCACACACCACTGTACTTTTCTGTGTCAACAAGGCACCCAAAGTTTGGTGCACCCAGATAGGCTTTGAGGTGGAGGTCATTTTGCAATGTTACAATTTCGATTTCCACCTGTCCAGCATCCAAGCTGAACATTGAACTTAGTTGCTCAGCAATGCATGTTGTGTCCACATTCATGAAAGGATTGGAAACAAATGAGACACATGGCTCAAGCTGATCAAGGTCACAAAACCTGTTCTCAAACTCTTGACCA